TAGCCCCAGGACACCATCTTCCAGGCTGTATTAGTTAATCTACTCATAATACAGAATCATAGAAACAAGTCATATTTCATTTTGTTCAAATTTTACTTTCACCTCGCATAAAACACAAAGTTCAATTAAAACATAGCACAATGAAACATAGTAAATAATAATATACAAAGAGGTAATAAATGAGCATGAAATTACCATCCTGAAACACCACTGCAATCAAAGCAGAGGATAATTACGAAAACATTAAATACGTATCTTTTTTGAAATAATTAACGATCAGTGAAAGGCTTAATTAAAGTCAGACCGATATCTTGGAAAAATAAAGGGGTTTTATTTGACATTTTTTACTGCTGCCATGGAAACGAAAGCAGATGTCTTTATTTTATTTTTCCTATTAAAGGGCTGGGTGGTTGTGGCCATTTTTAGACTATTTTTATCTCCTTTAGACGGAATGTACATCCTGTGACTGCCCGATTACTATAAAGCACATACTTTTAAACTGTTCCGATTTTACACCTATTCGTGTGAAAAAAATGTACGAACTTTTTACATATGTTCATGTTTATAAAATTTTAGAAAATCTACAAGAAACGGGTTATTATAGTAAAATTTAAATACAGTTATGAAAACAATTTTATGAAAACAATTTTAATGAGATATACATGTACATATCAAATTTATTTTATTAAGAGTTTATGCAATATTTTTAACAGTTTATATATATCTAAGTCCGTCGGACGGGACATTTAATGGTGCCCCGTGTCAAGGGTAGATTTATCTATACACTTCCGTATTACATCAACTCCAATATATTATTATTTGGTGACCAAAATCTCTCATTGGCAGAAAACGTTGCGATCTTTAAATCTGTCCAAAAATTTATTGTAGCTACCAAAAGATTTGTGTAATCAGTTTTCCCATAGTAATTATTCACTACTCCATCTCCCGTGGGTATGTTCTTTTGTACATTCTGTCAACTGCATGTAGCAAGCGTCATTCATTTTTTTCTTCATTATTTCCCCATTCTTTTATTGTTATTTTTCTCAAATTTGTGTTTATATTTGTTACTGCTCCTGTATTTATTCTTTAATTACATGTATCTTCTTTGTTAATTCAACCACTTTCTATTGCTTTTTTTTTCTTCCAATACATATTGGACATCTATTAGATTTCTTCCGTATAATTAGAATGTCATTCATTTGTGTAATTCACATGACTTCATACTCAATATGTATGTCAATCTCAAATATTGTTGTAATGCAGCTTAAAACCGTGTTATGTGACCATCTAATAAGGGTCTGTCATCTTTATCATAAATAATAAGGAAACGGATTAGTTTAAGTTTTTGAAACTTGTTTCCGAATCCTTTTTGATCTTTGTACTTCTTGCCTGTATTTCTTGCTTGTCATGTTCAAATAAAATATGGTTGAAACTAAGGATAACAACCTTCTTGGCACGTAAAAGATCGTTTCTCTGGAGTTCGAAAAAGAGTAGGCTCAATGGGGGCCACCATAGAAACCAAAAACCTTTCAAAAACCGATTTAAACTAATGGTCCGCCGAAACATGGCTGGAAAATTGCCGACTCGGCGTTAGACAATATTCAATCAATCAATCATATCTCCTTTAGAAGAGATCGATATAAAGATATAATAAAATGATCAAATTTTAAAACTAAAGTTTATGAATTTTTTCTTCGCCAAATGATAGTTGAGGGCTTAAGATATATCTAAAAAATTAAGTTATAACTGGTGGTTAAATTTGTTGACTCCCTAGCCTCTTTAAGATATTTACCATCCAATCTTATTAAAATCAGATCCTTTGATTCGCTCACATAGATCGCTATATAAGGATCAGAAGAAACCCCATTCAGGGTCATCTCCTGGAGACCTTTCTAATAAAAATTTTCATTAAAATTTTGACCAATTAGAGAGATCGTATTTAATTGAAGTTCGGGAAAATGAATGTAGAAGTGGAAGTAACTGTGGAGAAGATACCAAACAAAGAGCTGAAAACCAAGATAAAAGCAAGTACCTATTACATTTCTGTACAGAAAAGGCTGTTGCCGTTCTCTTAGCAGACTACGGAAACTAAGTCACGATTTTCCGTTCGTTTATCATCGGGGCTTTTACTTCTGTAACTGAATTCCGAGATACCTCTAAATTCTGGAAGGTTAACATTTTATTGGATAATTGAGAGGTCACCAGGAGATGACCCTGAATGGTTTCGTTTCTTCAGATCTTTATGTAGCGTGTGAAATGCTATCTCAACATATAAGTCGTGATATCATACAAAGATTTTGAGAAATATTCACTTCAAATCTGTGTTTATGTACCTTTACATGTAATCGTTCATGTTAACCTGTCATTTTACATACGTAATAATAATATAAAATAGTTCAGGCACTGTAAGGGTAAAGTTTCCTTTTGAATAAATAGTGCAAACTTATAATCTATTTTTGTCCCCCGCTTTCGCGAAAGCGAGGGGACATTAAATCTTATTCGTCTGTCTGTCTGTCCGTCAGTCTGTCCGTCACAAAAACTTTAACCTTGCCCATAACTTTTGATTTAGTGGAGCTATGACTTTCATATTTCACATGTGTATTCCTTGTGACAAGACCTTTCTTTTGGTACCACCAAATTTGACCTTTTGACCTTGGAGTTTGACCCACTTTTACACAAAAATTCCAAACTTTTACTTTGGCCATAACTTTTAAATAGTAGATACTAGGACTTTCATATTTCATATATGTATTGTTTGTGGCAAAACCTTTCATTGGATAACAACAACCTTGACCTTTTGACCTTGATTTTGGAGATTTACGTACTTATGAAAAAACTTTAACCTTGACCATAACTTTTGAACGGTGAGGACGAAGGCTTTCGTACTTCACATATATAATCCTTGTCAGAAGACCTTTCATTGGATACCAATAACTTTTGCCCTTTGACCTTGACCTTGGAGTTTTAATTACATTTTAAAAACTTTAACCTTGGTTACAACTTTTAAACAATAGATACTAGGACTTTTATATTTCACATATGTATTTCTTGTGGTGAGACATTTCATTGGATACCAACAACCTTGACCTTTTGACTTTGATCTTGGAGATTTATGTACTTAAGAAAAAACTTTAACCTTGACCATTACTTTTGAACGGTGAGGACTAGGGCTTTTGTACTTCACATATGTGATCCTTTTGAAAAGACCTTTCATTGGATACCAACAATTTTTACCCTTTGACCTTGACCTTGGAGTTTTAACTACTTTTAAAAATACTTTAACTTTGGTCACAACTTTTGAACGGTAGATACTAGGACTTTTATATTTTACATATGTATTCTTTGTGGCAAGTCCTTTCTTTGGATATCAACAACTTTGACCTTTTGACCTTGACCTTAAAGATTTATGTACTTATGAAAAAACTTTAACCTTGACCATAAATTTTGAACAGTAAGGTCTAGGGCTTTCATACTTCACATATGTAATCCTTGTGAGAAAACTTTTCATTGGATATCAACAACTTTGACCCTTTGATCTTGACCTTGGATTTGACCTACTTTTAAAAAACTTTTTACTTTGGCCATAACTTTTTAACGGTCAGGATTAGGGTTTTCATCCTTCAAAAAAATCAACTTCAGTGTTACTTTCTAAATAAATGACATATGATAGGATGTTCGTATTACACACAATATGTCATAAAAATAACATCTCACCCACAAAGACACCGAAAGCGGGGGACCACAATTCTTTGAATTTGCTTGTTAAATATATTATTATTACAATTATTTCCTGTTTCTATGCTTCATTTGATTTAATTCCGCCCATCTACAAATTGGCTTTGAAAAGGTTGTCCCATAAGCGAGGACCTTGCCTAACGCCGATCGGAATGAAGCTATTTAAAGCGAAAAGAATAATCCTAAAGATCATATTCAGTGTATGTTCAGCTAGAGAATTTTATTTATTGCGCGTGCCTTGATCTGAAATGTAATTTTAGCTGTAATGGTGACAATGGTCGAAGACCAGAAGAGCTTAAATGCGATAGTAAGGCGTCCGTCCGTCTGATGGAAAAAGCATCTATACGTGGGTGAATGAGGGGCATTACGACTGAAAATTAAATAATTGATCTGTTTAGAATATCATAACGTAAAGTATTGCCGAAATAGGCTACAATGTAAAAATATTTGCCAACTCGACGTTTAGCATTATTCAAGCAGTCAAAATAAAGAGCACTTGTCGCAGATGAACATCGTATGTATACATATTTCAACAAAAGGTTAAGGTAAGGGGACACTTTTTTATTCTTAAAAGATTGGTGCTTGTAACATTATTGATTCCAATGCCAGTCAAGGACAGTGTATTCATTTACAAGATGATCAAGATGGAAAGATTATGTATTTTGGTATTCCCTGAAAAAATTAAAAAGCCAATAAAAGGAAAACTCCAAAACGTTATGTTGCGGACAAGGTGAGGTGTTTTTCGTCATAACTTTTGAAACATAGGAGATGGATACTTCATATTTAGTATGATTACTCAACTAATTAAGTTCTTTCAAATGACACCAAGGCCAATGATTTTTTTTTACCTTGACCTATATGCTAAAAATAGCTTTTATACGAACTTTGTTGCCGCCAGGCGCATAGTGTTTCACAAACACATCTTGTTAAAAAAAAATCATCGTATTGTTCATTTGTATTCATTCATGGAAAGCATAATATTTTCTCTATAATTTTTTTTTCAGAATGATAAAGCATATTTCTCAAATAAGGTGTGATGTTGTTATGATATCATATTCCACTGAATATATTGAAAACAGCTGTTTATCATTATTTTACTATTTATTATTACACTTATATGACGTATGCTGAAATCAGATTATTTTTCACGTGCAATTGCTTTATCGTGTTTTCACAGTCAGAAAATATTTTTCGAGAATAAAAAAAGAATTCGGGTGCAACACTATTGAGTGGATTAAAAAGACTAACGAATCTCTGAAGCCAAATTAGGCAGAGGTTTTTACCGTGCTTTCGTTGGTAGAAGGCTGTGGAGCGATTTCAGAGTGCTTTCTTATAAATATGTACACGACCAGGTTAACTACACCTCCGAGGTTGTTAAAAATTGTGACAAATTGAAACAAAATTTGTGGAACGTGATCAACAAGAGCCCATACTCCGTAGATTGCAAAGGCCCACCATTGGACGAAAAATGCCGCAACAAAAAAGGTCATATTGCGCGCGGCATTATGAGCCATGCGCATGGTGACAGACTTTTGACCAATCGTGTGCTTGATACGTTCCGTGTCTGATCTGATGCGGGTCCACGTGAGAAGGTACAGGATGGTGTTCATTAACAATATCAGGGTCAAAGGGACTGTGGTGAAGCATATATTGGCAATGACACCCTTCACACCGTCAAAAAAGCAACTGAAATGTAATACAAATGTAAGTAAGATTAGCGACACATCAACTGAAAATCGAAGAAATTGATTTTTGTTATACTAATTTTTGTGTGAAGTTGTTATTGATGTGAAGCTGTAAATAAATCAATCACGTAATTTTTTCCATATTTCAAACAAAGATCAACGAAAGAACCTAGTAAATTAATTGAAATATACATTCGGTATCCATCAAACTTATTTCTATACTTCGTGGTTTCATATTGTGTGTATATGGTCTTTTTTTTCAAGCACGTCATTAACAAATATATTTATGATAGCAAGCGAGAGCTTCTTTGCACGTGTAGTTCAAATGTTAGTAATGTACAATTCGTGACTGTTTCTTTCTATTTGAATTAAATGGTATATGAAGCATTCAGCCAGAAGAGGCGATAGAAGAATACTTCTAATGACATTCTTTGATCATGTAACGAATTTTTTCCCTTTTATGTTCTCAGATTACCAGTATATGCTGAGAGCAAGTGAATATAATGATTTTTTTCCGGGAATGTCATGTTTAATCCATGTTTGAAGACCAGATGACGAACAAATTAATTATTATTTTTAGATAATAAACTCGTCATTTAATTTATCACTTCGTAGTCGTCACATTTATTTTACACACTGTTGACTCTTTGTGTGAAAGAGGCCCATCCCCAAAGACCAATGAATTGATCTAAACAGGGTGAAGTTATTTGTTTGCAAGATGTTTCACGTCCCATTCGAGAATATTGAAACTCTTATGGAGACGCTCTCACTTGCCGGTGGAGGGCTGCAGATTTAATACATTAAATATCAAAATCGTGAAAAGGCCTGGAAAACGTCAGCTATTTTGGACTATACCACTGCGCCACGAGGATGACTTGTTATTTGTTCCCTTCTAATAAAGCTTTCTGCAAAACCATTTTGTCTGTAAATTGCCATCTGACTGCTAGGGAACAACTATATTTTGTTATTTTGAGCTGATAGATTAAGTAATTAGATCTACATGTCAATGGGTCTGTATTGGAAATAGAATGGGATCTGTACTCGGCACTTGCGAGGAATCTTTTTTTCGTTTCAGCGCCTACTTGAACAAGGGACTTGACTTTTACGATCTCATCCAGATTTCATAATTCATTAATGTGTCCTTTTAAATAAACGCACAGAAAGTGTTAATACTCTTTTATTTGAGCTTAAAAAGAGGTTGCGAAAAACCTATCTAGACGCATATTGAAAAATATTCTTTAGCAAATAATTTTTATCCGCTAAAATAATACTGTATTTGACCAAAGCTAGGTTCTCTAGAGACATAACCGTACTCACAAAGCTCCTGCGGGTCCCAGTTGTTCAAAACTGGCAGCGAAGGTGGCCCCAACAAAAGGTACTCCAAAAATCCACACCAAAATCTTCCAGTCGTATTTTCCAAAGTTGATATTCTTGTTGAAATAAATCAACACAAATGCATTGATGGCAACGATATTCACCATTAAATTTTGTGCGGTAATAAACTCGACCAACATAAATGCGTAAAACTCGCATAGCTCTCTGGGATACACGTGGTTCTGGGAAATAACAATGTGCAAATGATCAAAGCTATGGGCAACATTAAAGGTACCATCACAAATGGCCATGTACACCACGAAACGCTCACTTTTTGACCAGGAGAAAAATGACTTTATGTTTCTTTTCTTGAAAGAGAGAATCAGAACTGTTAAGGCACAAATCAAGCTCATAAAAATGCAGAAGAGTGCGGGTATGTGAATAATCAAAAACTGCCCATTGTCCAATCCGAAGACCGGTAAATCGTACCCGTTGGTTTTTATATTAGACTGGTTCCCTTCCATTTTTGTTAATGTCTTCTACGTCTTTATTCTTATCGGGCTTTATCGCAATGAATTATATTCTACCTATAAATCGACATAAATATTCCAATATTTCAACGGAACATTCCATTTTGCCTACAAAGTCGGTTACCTATTACTCGCTGTCAATGCATTAACATCGATACAGATATATACATGTATAGTTAGCGTCATGTTTTGTATTATATTGTCCTTACGATAAGAACACTCGTTCTAGAAAAAGGAGACCAAATAAGAATTTCTTAAGTTGTTAAAAATTTCCCGGTATAACATTACATTCATTTTTCACAAATTTTGCTATTCAATTTCTGTAATGATTATTACTTTTTAGATACAAAATTGACGATACCTGAATAATGTAACAGCAACAATGATTCTGATTAAGACAATAAAATGCAAACACGCTAAATTTTCACGTTACTGCTGACATAAATTGGTTGCTACAACTACATCTTTTAAATAGATTACAACATGTACTAATAGACCATTGTGAATGAAAGACGTTTCTTCCTACTCTACATAAAATTGATATCAAAGATTTCTTAAATTTTCATATGTAACAATAGTCCAAATACTTTAACCAAACGATCACCACTATTATTATTAATAATTGACACATTTTAATATTCTATATGTTAAATGTCTAAAGTACATGATATTTTAGTGTATTTAATAATTATATTATTGTTAAGATATTCAACTGAACTATCTTTTATAAAAATTGATTAACAAAGAACATTTCTCTTCCCCCAGCTCCGTTTCACTGTGCAATAGAACAAACATAATTTTTAATCATCTCCCTTCCTTTACTAAAACGATCGATTCAATTTATGATTGGACTTCTGGAAGTTTTTTCCTTCAGAAACCGTTTACAAATTATTGAATACTTCTGCAAAGATTTTTCAAGATAAAAGTTTAACTTTACAGCCGTTTGTTGCTTGATTACGGCTGAGTAAACCATTTTTGTCACATGTGGAGATGACGAACAGTATTCGAGATCAAAAGTCAAATAACAAAATAGGAGCGGAGCAAACATGGACCTCAAAAACATCAGAGATGGGATCAAGTACCATGGAGGAGTGAGCGTCCGCTGCCTACCGGTCAAATTTGCCTTGTGCACCTTGTCATGATCTGGAAATAACATAAACAATCCGTGGACATCTCAGTGTGTAAATAATGGTTTAACAATCAGAATGAAAAACGTCAGTCAGCATTGAACTTAATGATAAATTCTATTTGCTGACAAGGTCTTTGTATCGACCATAGAACTTAAGAAATGATTACTGTTGGTATTTTTGCTTCTGAATCATCAACTTGTTTGTCAGTAACTTACCTCGTTTTAGAAATTGTTCATACGTAGAACATAATCTTCCGTATCGAATCAACTGAGAGATATAAACTCCGTATGCCGGATATTTAAGTATTTTGCTGTGTAGTAAGGGAAGTTGACGATCACGTTTATCATAAAGCTTTATTATAAGATAACATCTTTTCTAGTAAAAGATACATATATAGATGTGTCAAACTCTTTAACTTTTATTTCAAGCTCATCGGGATAAATCGTGTCGACATAAGAATGGAAATAACTATTGTTAATTGACTATACATTGTACGTCGTCGATATATCTAAATGTCGAGTTTAAGGTCACAGCAAGTGTTTTCTTTTCACGGAAATGATTTTGAACAAAATTCTGCTTCATATGAATACAAATATACGTAGGTCTGCAAATAATGGGGCGCGTTTGGTACCCATGTAAATGCCAATAGATTGATGGAAGACCTGGTCTCCAAAAACCACAGAGATATTGTCAATAAAAAAATTCCAGCATCTTTTTAATATTATCTTCAGAGTACTTGTGTTTACACACAGAATGTTTTTAACAAAGTTATTTTCCAAATTGACCAATGACAAGATAAGTAAATTTACGAATTCCAATTTTATTAAAAAAGCAGATGTCAATGATGTTAAATGCCTGGACTCTGAGTTATCGTGGGGAATGTCTGTGAATAAAGTTGAAAAGTCATAAGTTTCTAAGCTAATGATTTTGGTAAAATTTAGTAATATCAAATTTCCAGAAGTTCCTTTGATTTTTTAAGTATCCACATTTGATTTACACCACTTTTCAATTATATTGTTCAACAGTGCTCTTAAAGTTTCTCCTTCACTATTATTAGTATTTTTGTGAAGAGACTTGGTAGAACTTTTCTGGAACCTGCTTTGTATAGGGATTTTTATGAAGTCAGTATCCAATATAGATAATAATCAATTAATCCAAAATAGATATGGTAATTCAAATTCATTTTGGTTGTTTGGTATATTAAAATATTCAGAACTGACATATGATTTTGAAGAATTTCCTCCCTAGAAAGGTAGCTACATGTATGAGTATAATTTGGATACTTTCCGATGCATGAGGAATCCCTTCCATTTTAAGGGGGCCGACTATAGTTTCCATTGCGCAATATTTCGCGCACCATAGTAAAATGAAGCGTATTTATTGTTTTAATGCAATTTTTTTCGCTTAATTATTGAAATTAAACAAAATTAAGAAATTGTAGATATAAAAATGTAATTACAATTTGATATAACTGATTTCTTAAACGATTTTGCAATTGATAGGTAGGTTGACGTCGTTGCAGTGTGCTTTTGACGTTATGATAATCTGTAGCTCTTAAAGAAAGGGGAAATAAAAATATTTTATGCCCATCTTCCTGATACTCGCACTAAAGGTTGCTCTGTTTGATGTAATATTATACTATCTGATACCAACACAACATCGTTTGAAGTTGAAAAAGGTCATTTATTACCAAATGACAATTTTGTAAAACTATTACAAAAATGAAAATGTAGTTTGATAGATTTACATTTATAAACCTTGCAGTGATACCAATATCACTACATGCAACTTCGAAATAGATCAAAACATTACTTTATAAAATTTTTACATCAAAGGTGGGGTAAGGTAAAAATGCCTTACCTACTGAAAAAAGAAATATGGAAAAATATTGTCAAATTATTCACATCAATTAAGAACACTATAATTTTTTAACTATTAGGGAGAGGTGGGAGGGTTGTTCAAAAATAAAATTGTATTTCCATACAAATATGGCGCTGCCACTGATTGTACTCAATCATATACTGAGGCTGTTCCAAAAACAAGACCGAACAAAAGTATTAGAGTTATCTCGCTTGTCCCACTTTCAATACACAAGAAATGGGCATAAAATTATTTATGAACATAAATAGCATTTATGCCCATCTTCCTGATACTCGCACTAAAGGTTGCTCTGTTTGATGTAATATTATACTATCTGATACCAACACAACACCGTTTGAAGTTGAAAAAGGTCATTTATTACCAAATGACAATTTTGTAAAACTATTACAAAAATGAAAATGTAGTTTGATAGATTTACATTTATAAACCTTGCAGTGATACCAATATCACTACATGCAACTTCGAAATAGATCAAAACATTACTGTATAAAATTTTTACATCAAAGGTGGGGTAAGGTAAAAATGCCACTTACTGCCAATGACAGGCAGATCTGAACTGTCATCAGCAGTAATCCCCACCCAACCCTAGTGCGAGTCTTAATCTTACTACAATAGAAGTATCCCTAAAATTCATACAAACCGGATACAAACAATGAAAAATAACACATTACCAACATACAAAGAAAGTATTTCAACTCTTGTAAACAATACCATATTATTATGCATTGTACACAAACTTTGTTAGATGCATAATTACGTCAAAACTTTACTACTTCTTGATACAACCAGATGCTCCTGTCATCATGGTTGAAAATGTTTTCCTAAGCCAATGTCCTCTTTCCTGAAACAGATAATGTGTCACACTTGTAGATGCATAATTACATCAAAACTTTACTACTTGATACAACCAGATGCTCCTGTCATCATGGTTGAAACTGTTTTTCTAAGCCAATGTCCTCTTTCCTGAAACAGATAATGTGTCACACTTGTTCACATATTTTGACAATTGTCCAAACCCTCATATTCTCTATTACTGGCTTGATATTTATTTTACAATCAGATGCTCTTGTCACCATGATTGGGTATAATTTGTGACACCAGTAATTAACACACTTGATTGACATCAACCAAATAAATTACTCACTATTTTATAGGAACTCAACTCAAAGTAGATTTGAAATGTCATGAATTATAATCTGACCAGATGCTCTTGTCACCATGATTGGGTATAATTTTGTGACACTAGTAATTAAAACACTTGATTGCAATCAACCAAACAAGTTAACAAATTACTCACTATTTTATAGGAACTCAACTCAGAGTAGATTTGAAATGTCATGAATTATAATCTGACCAGATGCTCTTGTCACCATGGTCATAACTCATAACCTCAACCTCAACTCAAAGTAGATTTGAAATGTCATGAAATATAATCTGACCAGATGCTCTTGTCACCATGATTGGGTATAATTTTGTGACACCAGTAATTAAAACACTTGATTGCAATCAACCAAACAAGTTAACAAATTACTCACTATTTTATAGGAACTCAACTCAGAGTAGATTTGAAATGTCATGAATTATAATTAGACCAGATGCTCTTGTCACCATGGTCATAACTCTTTACCTCAACCTCACCTCGTGAGCAGTCAAAGGTTTACAAAGGGGATTCGAATGTACTTTTTGAAAGCGTCTAATGACCACCGCCCCATTGATTTCATTTTTTGCTCTAGAACTCCACTGGAAAAAGCCGTTGTTGCTGCTCTGATTCTAAAGCTGTGACCTTTATATCATTTACAATCTAACCCACACCAATTTAATGGCAAACATAACTGATCTGTACAATATTTCCGTGACACCGGTGACCCATCCATGAAAGTAAAAAGAGGACCAGAAGTTGGTTTTCGTAATTGAAAATATGTCCATAGGGCCTGAACAGGACATATTGTGTTATCTTTGCTGTCATTTTTCACATGCACAGTGTAAGATTGACCTTTACCATGTTTGAAAGTTTTCATAGTCAACTCCAACCCTACTGGGCAGTCTGAAGTATTTTCTAAAAAATGTACAGATTGTATTGTCAATAAATGACAATTTCTGTCTTTTGAAGCTGTAAATTACAATCCTAAGAAAACAGTGAAATGCCACTAAATACACACTTTTCATAAGTACCTGTACAAAATATAAACTTGTTGTATATTGTAAAGAAGCTATCAGCTGTTTAAGAATGATTGGTGTTATAGGTATTCTAGGGTCAACTAAGCTTGTCTTATTCTTGTAACCTTGTAAACATTTTTTCACTAAAAGTTGGGCCATTCATATTCCTTATCTTATGTTGAATACTTAATGCTGAAACATAGGTTGCCAGTAACAATAAGCTATAAACAAAATGATATCTTAAGCTTCTGCTTTTGCTGGTACACCTTTCCTTGGCAAAGCAAAATGATGACACCAAACAATGGCAATATTCAATTGCCCTTTGATAAGTATTATGAGTTGATGCTGCTAATGACTGATTTATTAGATCTGAAGCTATTGATTCTAAACTTTGAGATTGTCCTCGTTGTTATGGCATGCTACAGGGTTGTTGTAGGAAATTTTTTGTAGGGACTGTGGAATCTGCTGGCGAGAAAGATGATCAGCTAAAACATTATCTAAACCCGATACATGTCTTCCTTGAAATAAAATATTGTGTTTAAAATATTGCACTACTAAACGACAAACAAGAACCATTTGTCTTTACTTTAGGTTTGTTTGTTGATGATGTGCACAACAGCATCATTATCCGTGAAAAAAATTTTAATAATAACACATCAATTTTCAAACTGATCTGCCCAAAGCTGAACTGCAAGTACACTGGGAAATAACTCCTTTTATTGTAATATGATAGGTTTTCCAGGTTTTAGGCCATATACCACTAAAATACTGATTTCGTAAATAACCACAGAAACCAATGTTACTTGTATCCATATACAATTGTAATGAGTCAGAATTGTCCCATTGCTCTGATGAAAACAGTGACTTGCCATTGAAATGCTCCAAAAACAATCCCCAAGCATTTAAATCCACTTGAGCTTCCTTATTCAATCTCCTATGATGAAAAGGTTGAGTTAACTCAATTAACAGATCAATTAGCTGCCTAGGAAATGGGCGTCCTGGAATGACCACTGAACAGGCGAAGTTTAACAGACCTATTACAGACTGTAACTCTAGTAATGTTATAGATTTTTTAGACTTGTGAATTTGTATTAGGTGTCTAGCTTTAGTTAACTTGTCTTCTGCTAAACATGACTCCATCAAAATAGAATCCAACTCAATACCCAAACATACAAGCGAAGCACAGGGAAGGACAGTTTTTAACTCCTTAATTGGAATACCAATATCCTTGAACAAAAACATGAACTAGTCTCCCATGTAAGCCTAACTTGTTTTCACATACCCAATGTACTGCAGTACTGAATTCTTCAAATAACTGACAAGAAAAATTAAGTCACATAGGGAGAGTTTTGTCAAAATAGTATTCATTTTCTAAAGTAAAACCCAACCATTCCCAATCTGAACAATGTATTGGAACAATTTTATATGCATTCTGAATATCCAATTTAAACAACCCGCAATTTTTCTCATATATTCGCATTCAACCTACTGCATCTTCTACCTCCTGATATTGAACAGATTTGAATTGATTATGAATACCAGAAACCCAGAATTTAGACCTACTTTGGATTTACCCAAACTGATAGCCAATGCCTCACTATGGATTTCTGAATTTAATGTTTGCTTTTTGGGCTTTATTTCACACTCCCCTTCTAAGATTTCACTGATTTCAAAGCCTTTATAATTATTCTTATTTTTGATTCCTAACAAATTTCCAAATCAACAAATTCATTTCCCCAGATTTTGCTTTTTATCTTAGAATCTACACCGAGACCCAATGGCTTAATGATACTGGGATTCTTAACCCCTGCGCTAAGCGATAACTCCTTAGATGCTGTTTGTTATTAGTACCTGAATTACTTGGTAAAATTGCCATCTTCTAATTGGCTTGAATGATTGTTGCTTGTTGGAGTGTCACTTGCGACTTCCTCTTGTTGTAAATTAACTGGCTTTGTAACCACCCCATAGTCTGTAGGCCTATTACCGGTACTCATCTCTGTAAATGGATGTTAGCATGTATGCCTAATTTATACAAATCATGTCAAGAATTCAACCTATCTATGACTGATAAAATTATCAGCTTTTGATTAATGTGGCAAAATTATTGTTGATTTACTCATCCAAATATTAGTCCATATCAGGCAATAGGATAAAATTACCCATTAGACCTGACTCTAGGGTAGTTCTTTATACCAATTATTGTTTAAATCTTAAAACAATCTGTATAATTACAGTGCACTAGTGAAATATAGCTACACAATGTATCAAGAAACCATTGCAATATCACTAATTAATTCACTATCCCTAGTGAAGCATAGCGATAGAATTATCGCATTTATAACTTGATAGAATTATCAAGATTCAGCACTGATCAAGACGTGATAAAATTATCACTAATTGTAAAGCATAGCGATAGAATTATCGCATTTGTAACTTGATAGAATTATCAAGATTCAGCACTATTGAAGACGTGATAAAATTATCACTAATTGCGATAGAGTTATCGCATTTATAACTTGATAGAATTATCAAGATTCAGCACTGATCAAGACGTGATAAAATTATCACTAATTGTAAAGCATAGCGATAGAATTATCGCATTTGTAACTTGATAGAATTATCAAGATTCAGCACTATTGAAGACGTGATAAAATTATCACTAATTGCAATAGAATTATCGCATTTATAACTTGATAGAATTATCAAGATTCAGCACTGATCAAGACGTGAAAAAATTATCACTCATTTTAAAGCATAGCGATAGAATTATCGCATTTGTAACTTGATAAAATTATCAAGATTCAGTAATACATTAAAATACCACTAATTGTTCAGTAATGTGGCAAAATTACCACTCATACTTGAACATGTGGCAAATTATCACAGGCTCTTCTGCAACTCATGCAGTAGAAAAAGTTTCCAGACTTACTGTTCTAAGTAAAAATAAATGCTTGATCACAAGGGTCCCTTTCTGTATTTCCCACTCTTGGACTGGCTCTCTACAATGCATCTAATATGTGATTAAACAGAAAACTGCTGAAAGTATAACATTGTGTCATATATGCATAGTAAGCTTTTTTTTTTTTTAAATCATTAATACCCGTTTTGTAAGATGTTCTAAGTCACTAGGGTACTAAGGCTAAGGTACATATAGATGTATTGCCTGTTTCATAAACTTAAGATGCAAATTAACCATAATTGTTATATGGCTAAATGACATACAAACTATTTATCTAGCTATCACTTGTACTATGTATCACAGCACCCCTGATTGCCTAATCACAAAAGTTATTCACTACAGAGTTCTTCAAGCCCTTTAACTTCCAGTACACAACCTGCCTTCTGTTTTTAACTTCTTCTTTTAAAGGTTGATTTGCCAAGACTATTTACTTATTATATAACGTTAAAACAACTCGGCAGTGTCTGGTGGAATATCTTGGTAACGACTGACACACATATATCTTATTTAAATGATACCGGTTTAAAAACAAGTCACATGTTGCCATTATTTTTGACACAATCTCCCTAACCGAATCCTCATCAGCCTGCGGCTGATCGATATCGTTTCCCGCAATATGTAAAGTTAGCTTCTGTGGTCGGTTCCTTTGAATCTCCTCTTCTAGCACTCTAATGTCCATACTTCGACCTATTCTGTCCCCACTAATCCCAATGACCGAGATCGCTACATTTTGTACATTAAATATAATTGTTTCAAAGTTGTCTCTGATTCCTCGCATAATGATATAAGCGTCGAATGTGTGAGTCACCAAATATTAATACAGACATCTTGATGAAGGAAGAACACAGTACAAAACAATGATCGTTGGGACAACACAGGTTACGAATGATGAAAAATCGGAACGCACGTGTGCCAGGACCGAATTTCAAGTCTCGTCTTTTAACACTTACAAATGTGCTGAATTCCTTGGAAATCCAAAAGATCACACCACGAGAAGTCCATCAAATGTATTAACTGTGCACTGGACACGCTGTAAGCCAACTTGCTTGTTCAAAAATAAAATTGTATTTCCATACAAATATGGCGCTGCCACTGATTGTACTCAATCATATACTGAGGCTGTTCCAAAAACAAGACCGAACAAAAGTATTAGAGTTATCTCGCTTGTCCCACTTTCAATACACAAGAAATGGGCATAAAATTATTTATGAACATAAATAGCATATTAAAGAAAAAGTAATAAACATAGCTCTTGAAATTTAAATCATTGAAATTTGAGAATATCTCCAATATTTTTATTATGTTTTCATGTGAATCCATTGTGTACGTCATATTTTGTAATACTCTATAACAATAGTAAAAGAGCTAAAGCCACGAACCATCGAAATACGCCTTAACTAAAAAATCAATGAGAATTTCAATAAAGATGGTGTAGACTTGTAGTTTTTCATAACTGTTTTCCTTTTTAAGATATCTATAATACTTTTTCAAGAAGAGATTTGACAGTATGGCATTGTTTTGAATGTTTACATGAGGAACGTCATTATTTGTAACGTAACGTCATAACATCGTAAAAAGTCCTTTGCTATAGAACATTCAACATTGACTGCTTACTTTTGTACACCCGAGCGTTACAATAGTTCTTTATCTAAACATGTAGTTTTAAAAGTATTTAATACTCTAGACATCTGTCACTACATTATATGACATAATTATTATCTGATATACATGTAATAAATTCTGAAGTTTTCAAAATTTGTGACTGGATAAATATAAAGTGAAGCCCGGCGCAGTAATCGTCGAATCTTTTTCCTAAACAAGAATCTGGGCCTATTATAACGAAATAGAATTATCAAAGTGGGTGTGTATGTTTTTATCTATGTGACGACCCCCGATTATTCGTGCATTTTGACAATGAAATATATGTTTTGCAAAATTCTTAAGGTTTTACAGAAAGGGGGGGGGGGGTTTGCAAGAAACATGAATTTGATTTGAAAGATGAGTATATATAGACTGTAGCCCTAAATTCAAGTTTTTCTAGTTATATCACCAGGTATGTCATAGTCTGCTATTTAATATTGATTTCACACGTATTTGGATTTAGATTTTTTTCTTTCAGGTATGTATCTTTTCCTTTATGCAAAATTATACTGTGTATTTTTAATTCTCATGTTCTATATCGCTATCACTTCTATTTTGTCTTGGGGGGGGGGGGAGGGACGTAAGACATGCGTTTTAATCCTTTAATCTTAAATTATATTATTGTGTACTGCATTAAAAAAAGCGCCTATGTTTATTGTTGAAAAACATCAAGTATTTTAATCAGCAAAGGATTGTTGCTTGTCTCTCATATTACACTGAGACTCGTTTGTATATAAAAATATTTAAAATCGCCATGCACACTCAGCATGGTTAGACTAGTACTACATGTACCCGGGAATGGGACGAATTATATTTTGACCACTTTCTCTACTTTTCCAGGAGATTATTTATCGCCGTTTTTTTAGCTCTACTGGTCAGAGACCAGAAGAGCTTATGCGATAGTAATGCGTCCGGCGTCCGTCCGTCTGTCTGTCTGTCTGTCCGTCTGTCTGTAAACAATTTTTCAAAATGCTACTCCTCCTACAGTTTTGGTCTAATTTCAATATAACTTGGCACACAAGTAGACTACACTAAGATACATAATTCTGTGTATCGGTTTCTGATTTCGATGAACGGTGTTGCCGTGGTTACTAAAAATAGAAATTTCTGTGAAATTCTTTCAAAATGCTACTCCTCCTACAGTTTTGGTCTGATTTCAGTATAACTTGGCACACAAGTAGACTACACTAAGATACATAATTCTGTGTATCGGTTTTTGATTTCGATGAACGGTGTTGCCGTGGTTACTAAAAATAGAAATTTCTGTGAAATTCTTTCAAAATGCTACTCCTCCTACAGTTTTGATCTGATTTCAGTATAAATTGGCAAACAAGTAGAATACACTAAGATACATAATTCTGTGCATCGTTTTTTTGATTTCGATGAACGGTGTTGCCGTGGTTACTAAAAATGGAAATTTCTGTAAAATTCTTTCAAATTGCTACTCCTCCTACAGTTTTGGTCTGATTTCAGTATTACTTGGCACACAAGTAGAATACACTAAGTTACATAATTCTGTGTATCGGTTTTTGATTTCGATGAACGGTGTTGCCGTGGTTACTAAAAATAGAAATTTCTGTGAAATTCTTTCAAAATGCTACTCCTCCTACAGTTTTGGTCTGATTTCAGTATTACTTGGCACACAAGTAGAATACACTAAGTTACATAATTCTGTGTATCGGTTTTTGATTTCGATGAACGGTGTTGCCGTGGTTACTAAAAATAGAAATTTCTGTGAAATTCTTTCAAAATGCTACTCCTCCTACAGTTTTGGTCTGATTTCAGTATTACTTGGCACACAAGTAGACTACACTAAGATACATAATTCTGTGCATCGGTTTTTGATTTCGATGAAGGGTGTTGCCGTGGTTATTAAAAATAGAAATTTCTATGAAATTCTTTCAAAATGCTACTCCTCCTACAGTTTTGGTCTGATTTCAGTATAACTTGGCAAACAAGTAGAATACACTAAGATACATAATTCTGTGTATCGGTTTTTGATTTCAATGAATGGTGTTGTCGTGTTACTAAAAATAGAAATATCTGTAAAATTGTTTCAAAATGCTACTCCTCCTACAGTTTTGGTCTGATTTCAGTATTACTTGGCACACAAGTAGAATACACTAAGTTACATAATTCTGTGTATTGAATTTTAATTTTGATGAACGGTGTTGCCGTGGTTACTAAAAATAGAAATGTCTGTAAAATTGTTTCAAAATGCTACTCCTCCTACAGTTTTGGTCTGATTTCAGTATAACTTGGCACACAAGTAGACTACACTAAGAACATAAAGAGACTTTATCAACGATCCTTATTCTATTTAATGCTGTTTATAAAGTTTCAAATCCCAGCTGCTTAAGTACTTTCTCTTCCTTTGCTATAAGTTCAAACCAGTAGAGCTTCAGTCTCGACAGAGACTTCTGGTTTCTCTTCCTGTTCCTTTATCCGTGAAAATCACTACATTGCCACAGTTTTTTTATATTTGAAGCGAAACCAATCTTACTACCAGTCATAGTGGAGGGGCATCCTAAGTAACAATCTGTCCCAATTCGCGTTCACTGTACTGAGATATATAGGTGTTATGTATATAAAAAAGAGTGAAAATGAAAGCTAAACTTTTTTATATCACCTATTTTTAATAATTGTCTTCCCCAAATAACGCTTTACATCACTTACGCAGATATTTTCTTCTATCTGTAGATAATTCAGTAATATGTCCGATCCATGTTATGTCTGATCACTACATGCGATTGAGAAAACCGCAAGGCAAACCAATTACTACTAGAAGATAAATTAGGGTTCAAAATCCATGTTTATTTTTATTCATTAAATGTGTGCAAATCGTGAGTCTGACACCTTTTTATTTTAATCGGATAACATCGGTATTACCCTGAAAATGCATTCAGATGTTACAGAATTTCGGACACATTTGACACCTTTTTATTATTTATATCGGATAACCTCGGTATTTCACTGAAAATGCATTCAGATGTTACAGAATTTCGGACACATTTGACACCTTTTTATTTTAATCGGATAATCTCGGTATTTCCCTGAAAATGCATTCAGATGTTACAGAATTTCGGACACATTTGACACCTCGGTATTTACCTCAAAATGCATATGCATTCAGATGTAACAGAATCTCGGACACATTTGACCAGTTTCTATTGTAGTTACGAGATGTACTTCTTCTATAATGTATGAGTGTGCAGATAGATCATCCCGAGTTTCAGAGTTATTAGATTACCAATAAATTTTTCTTTCTTTTTTCGTTCGGGAAAAAAATCTGCGTCGTATTATTTTTTTTAAGGGTATGCCAAAGAAAAAGTTCTAAGACATCGTAAAAGGTTAATAAAGAAAGGAAAAGCTGTGGAGAGAGAGAGAGAGAGAGCATGCGTTTTAGAGCTTCGAGTTTTAAAATAATGTTAGCTAACTAACATTATCTGTAATCTTAAATGCATAATATTCATAAATGCTATATATTTCTTCAATTGATATATCTGTGTAAACAAATAAAACTATTTACATTTCATTTATCCTACAATACACATGGAGTTGCATGAATTTTAGATATCAACTTCGGATTAGGCATTTTTTTTATGTTTATAAAAAAGATTTGAAACAAGTATTACGTTCAACATCTATAGTGCTGGCAACATATTGGAAACTCGACACAAATCAATTCTCAACAGCTTTTTCTAATTATAAAATTATTTTGACAAACTTCTTCAAATTATTTTTGCTCAGATGCAGTAGACCTCGATCACGGTCAAATTATGACGTCATCATTGTATCATGTACGTAAGCATGAAAGAAAAGAGAGTAATTTTAAATTTTATATGAAAGAACACATATTAAATGACAATTTAAGATATTCTATCACAAAATTATTGACAAATATGGGATGATATAATTATCAAGAATAAATCTGATATACTAATAACTAATTTAGGGTATTTACGCATATAATGAACTTATAATTACTACTGAAATGGAGGATTTTGCTTCAATTTCTGAAAGCTCAACATTCATAAATTGTAAAATTCATATTGGCCACACGCGAGTACCTCTAGGATATTTTCGTGAAGGTGCATATATATAATATTTTCATGCATGCAAAGTTTGGAAAGGGTACTTGAGTGTGGCCACATTCAAATTTCGAAATAACTGCCGTAAAATCGGCATTTTTAGGCAGTTTTTAACTTCATAGGTATATTTTGTCTCTGCGCATGTGCTAAAGACGGTGGCCTGTGTGCCAAAAAATTATATGTAGCGTACCATGACATTGTGCTCTACAAAATAACATATGAAAGGCTTCGTGATTTTAAACTTAAATTTTGTCTGAAATTAAAGGCGGATATTGATAATTTGTGGCTTTAGCTCTTTGCTAATTTTTTTGCATTTTAAGATGCCCCCTCTGGTAACAAGACGGTAGAATTTTGTGTTTCTTACATATATTGTATAACATAGTATTACTCATCAAATATTATAATTTGAACAAAATGTCTATTGTACTATTTGTATAATTTGCTTTAAAGTGCTAAAAATTGGCATTTTCCTATATAATCCTATAG